ATCTTGATCCTGATATTCTCGATCCTGACAATTCCAATCTCGACCAGTCAGGACGGGATCAGGATTTTTCTTTAAAAAGTCTGGATCAGAAAAATCCTGACACTATACACACACACACACACACACACACACACACACACACACACACACACATAGGGGGAGGTTCAAGTGAGAACTCTCTTAAAATGAGAACCCGTGAGAACCCCAAGGAAACGGTGGTATTTTTGGCTGAATTTTTTTGTGTATGCTCCTCATCAAGTCTAATTGATCCATGCCAAATTTGAGAAAAAATTCAATCGGGAAGATCGTCGAATGATTTTGAAAGAAAACTGCGTTATATATATATATATATATATATCAGACCAGTTTTCTTTCAGAAATCATTTGACGACCTTTCCGATTGAATTTTTTGCTCAAATTTGGTATGGATGATCTAGACTTGATGAGGAACATACACAAAAATTTCAGCCAAAAATACCACCGGTTCTCAGTGGTTCTCACGGGTTCTTATTGTAAGAGAGATTCTCACTAGAACCCTCCCCTATACACACACACACACACACACACACACACACACACACACACATATATATATATATATATATATATTAAAGATCAAATGAGAACAAGGCTTAACGTGAGAACGTGAGAACACCACATTTACCCCGATGTGATGCACAATGAGGCTAGCCTAATGCACTTTTTCACGTTCAGCATAATATTTAGATTATTTACCAAAATGCCACCGTTATTATTTATATTGGCTTGTTTGGCGCAAAGTCAAAATGTGCATCAGACGGGCTCTATTGTGTATCACATTGGTTTAAATGTGAGTGTTCTCAAGTTAAGCATCGTTCTCATTGGAACCGCACCCTATATATATAAATGAATATATATATATATATATATATAATGAATATACATTTACAAAAAATGAATATGTATCTAAACATTTTCATATCTTTTTAACTCACTTATTCCTTACATAGATTGATCTTTTATGTTATAATATCAAACTTCTAAAACTATTCGGCATTCGTCTCAAACTGAGTATTCTGGATCCTAACTAAATAGAGATTATTCTTGATACCGATAATCTAAATCACAACAATATTACAGTTTTTGCGGTTTTGATGAACTCTTTAAAAAATCATGATCGAGACTAAGATTTCTTTCTTTAGTAAATAATCATAATATGTATTTGTACATTATATTCATTGATCACAAAGTTTCTCAATCAGTCTACTTAGTTTTTAATTTTAAAACCGGCGCCTGAAGACAAGTTTTAGAACTCAATAAGATCTTTCCAACGAGATATTAAAAGCTTTCAACGGAACAAAATAGAGCAAAATATGATCGGATCAAATTTTATACGAGTTCAGAGTGAAATCAGAAATATTTGTGAATTTATGGTTAATCTGTAACTTTTAATTAATGCATTGTAAATGAAGTTGGAACAATAGTTTTAGAGCACCAAATTATCTTTCCAACGAGATATAATACACTCTAAACGGAAGAACACACAGCAAGATATGAGTGTCACAAATACTTAGTCTCATCTCTATGATTTAGCGTTTTCAGCGTAAATAGAGCACTTTTAGCGTAAATACAGTGTATTTTAGTAACTAGGAAATCATCCCTTGATATTTTGAAACCAGCGCCTGAAGACAAGAGTTAGAACTCGGTAAGATCTTTCCAACGAGATATTAAACGCTTTCAACGAAACAAAATAGAGCAAGATATGATTGCATCAAATTCTACACGAGTTCAGAGTGAAATCAGAAACATTTGTGAATATATGGTTAATCTGTAACTTTTAATTAATGCATTGTAAATGAAGTTGGAACAATAGCTTTGGAGCACCAAATTATCTTTATCAATAATTATGAATACGATGTCGCTAATATATTCTCAACTTCGGTAAGGCAGCGAGAGCGTGGTTTTCGTTACGTGTAAGTTCCGTTACGACTTACATTCATCTACCCAAAACCCCGTTGAATATCAAGACATCACACTCGTATCATAAAATACCGGATATATTTCTATTCTCGGTGATATATATGTTTATCCTTTAGTGTTCATAGTTTAAAGGAAATATAAAAACTGAAATTTAATCTTCAAGAATGGAATGATGATCTTGTTTGATGAATTGGATGTTTTTTACTTGGATTGAAATTTGTTGATCTGATCTGGTATGTTTAAGTATGGTCTGGTATGGTCTGAACTGTTCGGGTCTGGTCTGGTAAATGTCTGGTCTTTAGGTATTTTATAACTATGAAAGTGTGATCTGGTCTGGTATGTTGAAGTTTGATCTGTTGTGGTCTGGGACTGAAAACAGTCCAAGTAAACATAATATAAAATACTTCTTATATTACTTTTTAACTTTTTAATGTCCCTAAGCTCTTGAGAATTAAAATTACTTTTTCATTTCCGACATGATCTTAATTTTAGGAAAAAAAACACCTACATTTTAGCGTTATGGATACACGTATAATATGTATATATAGATATGCATAACTTAACATGTATACATATTTATATAAAATAATTAGCTTATATAAGAACAATATTACACACTTCATCACATTTAGCATTCTATATAATTCTATATGATTTTTCCCTCTTCGCTAATTATATCTTTTATAGGACAACGTAATAGATTTGGACTGCATTTCATCTAGATGCATTGTTCTTATCGGGATTGTTAATGAAAGGCGGAAAATTAAGTATATATACAGAGTTTGAGGATGGGAATTGAAATTTTGTTGATATTTATATAAGCAATTAAATTATTTAAGTTTTAGAAACTTAAAATTGCTTCAATGGTATTCCCTCTGTTCCCCTATGATTGTCCCATTTTTTCATTTTGGGATGTCCCTCTATTATTGTCTTATGTCGTATTTGATAACATTTGTATGATCACTTTAATTCATTCTTACTTTATTCTCACTTTATCAACTCGTTATCAACCACGTAATTATATTTTTCTCAAAATCCATACCCTCTCTTCTGTCCAAATATTAGGGGTCAGAGGTAGTACTATTTTTGGACAAAATTTGGACATAATAATTTAGGCACATTTATGCAAGGGGAGAGAATATGGATTATTTAGATTTTAACAACCTAAAGTAGTTGCACTTTCTTTTTTATTGTTTAGGTGTAATTACCTATACGTACATAACAAATACATCATATCTTACATATAAGGCAGTACTTTTTTTGTGTTTAGGAGCAAAACAGGAGGATTTAATTAGGAGTATAATTACACGGTGTATCTAGAATTTGGGAGAGAAGCGGGTAAATATTTGGGGAGAGGATTCTTCCTTTAGGTATATAGGATTTGAATCTTCTTTTATTAAACTGCTGCTTATTCCAAGTTCATGGTTCAACTCTACTAAGTAAAAAGCCATAGACTTCATTTGCTTTTCATGCTTCCACTCATAAATTGTCCAACCAAAAACTTAAAAGGAAAAGCATTCCTCATCTCATGTCTTTCTCTTGAAAAAGAGTGCTATTGTACATACTGTTTCATTTCATTCAAGTTTTACCTTGCTTTTAGGATTGTTTTGAATACCTGTTTCATTTCATTAAAGTTTTACCTTACTTTCTCATCTCATCTTTCTTAGTTATTTCATATTTTTCTACTTTTTGATTTCTTTTTTGCCCCTTTTCGTCTTCTTTCTTAAACTGTTTTCAAGATAATAGACTTAGATATGGAACATTTTCTAAGAGACACACATTGTAATTTGTAATATTGCATATTTGAATTTTTGTTAGTTTTAGGAGGAAGAGTGTTGTTCCTCTTCTGATGTTTTGTTGTGATGCTGAGAACTGGGGAAAGGCGTAATTAATCACATACACTTAATGATAATTAAGCATCCCTATTATTTGTCTTTGGTGCTTACGACATTGCTTTCAAATTTTATTATCATTGCAACATTATTTGGAAACCAACTATCTATATCTAATTAATCCAACTAAGCCTCCTGCCTAACATCTAGGGTATTTGTGTACACTTCTTCCCAATTATTTATCTTTTCGTCAGCCAGTACTCTCAGCATTTCCTCCGCAACTTATCGTTTTCTACACATTGTTTCAGAAGTTCCCGGCTATCTTGAATCCTCCCACTTCACAAGTCGAGCTTAGTAGGCTGCTTGGGAAAAGCTACAGATAGACTCAGTTCAGATTAGCATTTCTACAGCTGCTATTGTACGACACAAACCAAAGGAGTGAAATTCATACCTAATGCAGACCATTTTTTTTCAATCTACTGTTTATATGATCTATGGATTGAGATTCTTAATTAATAACTTTTTGTCATTATTTTTCTTGATGATTGTCACTATACAACCCTATTCACCAAGCCTAATGATAATTATCCTCAATTATATAGGTCTCCATTCATTTCCCAAACTATGGTACTTCTGCAGTGTGCTATATCAGATGCTACCAAATTGAGATAGTGGTAGTCAAATAACTATACAAACGCAAAAGGAATCCATTAGGACTACAATATGCCTCTCGAGTATGTAATATGGGTTTGTCTATCGTAAGTGACTTGCTTCCTTTTTGTATTCTAATTTCAGTTTATTATAAACATATTTTACTCTTTTTAACGGAATTATTTTACACTTTTATATGACCTTTGGTTGGTTAATATTCTGGATTTTTACCATTGGGTAATGCCACTGATGGGCTTTGCCAAAATGTTTGTGACTCAGCATTTTACAGTTGAAAAAGGCTATAAAAAGACTTGAAAAGACCATTTCCAATTGATATTTCCTAACCGAACTTGGTCGGCTCATTGAAGGTCTTGTGTGGTGATGTTTTGCCTCCTACCTACCTCTCAATCTGTTTTAGCTTGATGGCGACTAGCAGACACCATCAACATCCATGAGCACTTTTTAAATAATGATTATTCGTAAAAAAAAAAGTATAATGTGGTTGAAGAAGAAATGCTAGTTGGGACTTTGATGTATTGATGGTTGAAGGTAGCCTAATAATGTCTATTACAAACCCTCACATGAAAGAAATATTTTTACTTCATCAATATATTGAACAATACCAATAGGTGCCATATATTTTATATGCCAGTGTTAAGAACCATCATAGGGCATTGTTGAAGTCTCAATAGTACAATTGACCTTTTTAATGGTTTCAAATTATTACATGAAGTTAGATTGCATCATGGCTCTGCCCAAGAATGCCGCCCAATTGGTCTGAATTGTCTTGATGACATTTGGGACACGCCAATTTCCTTTGCAGCTCATCACCTAGGGATGCACAGTGATTCTCCAACACTGCTGTCTGCTTGGTTCTAGTTGAGGATAAAACAAAATTACTGAAGCATCTGAGGTCAAGAAAAGATTAAATAACTGCAGAAGTACTTCACCAGTATAAGAGTATAATTAGCTCAGGAAACTGCACCAGATAATATGGAAAAATTGCAACTTACCGAACTTCCAGTATTAATGTTAGCCCTTGAGAACAGTTCATATATATTAATGTGTGTAATTATGTACGAATACAACAACATTACCCCAGTACCGCAAAGGCTCCCACCTACAGTGGGGTAACGGGGTCGGGTGTACGTAGCCTTACCCATGTACTAAAGCATAGGGGGCTGTTTATGGATGACCCATGATGAAAATCGTGTCAAAATTGCATGGTTGACTGCGATTTGGTTACAAAGAAGTGTAGACAGTTTAATGAGTCATTTTGTTTTATTCCATCATATTCCCAAGCCAAGAAATAGTGAGTCTTTGGCTCCATTGAAAATGAAGTAAAATAATTATGTACAAATATATGAGGATATTCATTCAGCTCCTGCCGCTCTATGCTTTCTTTCATTATTGCCTCCATCACCTTAACTCTCCTTTCCACAACAGTTAGTTCCTCTTGTACCTGCATATCCCCCCACCCCCAAAGCACAACTCAGTCTACCAAGGCTGCAAGAAGTATTCGAAGAAAGCGTTCTTCGTAGATAGTAGATACACATATATAAAAAGTGTATGAATGAGAAACTCTTATGTGTGCATTGACAAAGGGAAACTTTGGACTCCAAAGAGTTGGAAAGAGGATGCTGAACCTGCTTATGCACATTCTGCATTGTTTGATATTCTTCTTTCTCCGCAGTGATCTGACTATTGACATGAGCAACCTTATTTTCAAGATCTCTCATGTTTAGTTCATTGGAATTATCTACACCTTGTAATTAAAAAAATTGTCCACAAAATCTTGTCACCATTCAGCTGCTGGTATTAAGAACTTAAAATAATATGAGTATACATGTACGATACTATATGTGTTTGAACTTTTAGCACCCCCAACTTTTTGTTATCTAATAAGTTCATAAAACTTTTTGTAACCAAATCTTTTCCACAATAGGTATTATCTGTGCACACAACCCACACCAGAGTATAAATTTATCTCGCTGCAGTTCTCATTGCTGAAAGTTGAGCCTATTGAGTCATAGAATCTCCTGTGTCAGCAAACAGAAAGCAGTTAATCTTCTCAATGTAAAAAAAAGAATATATTCGAACACATTATGGACCAGATGAAAACACGTTTTTACAGATATTCACAAAGCTATTATCCATGCAAGCCCCTCTTAAACCCACAACTGAACTCCTGGAACTAATGATCTTATCTATTTGAAACACTTGCTATAATTTTCAACTTACACATATCCGCATTGCTAAACCCAGAGTTCTAGATCTCAAAAGCCTAAACATGCTTTAGAAACAGCTTGTTACCAAACAGGCAAGTCACATATAGAACCAAAGTAAGAGCAGATTTGGAATCCAATCATGTACTTATCAGTTAGACACTAAAAACACTCAAAAGGCACCTACCTTATTTCTGCATTGAGTTCAAGCATCCTCTTTATGAAATCCTCTCTGTGCACGCAGCAGGAAAGACTCAAATGAATTACTGATATCATAAAGGATGCTCACAGGGGGCTACGATACTCTCTTTAGAACGGTAACCATAGAACAATACAGAAGAGGCAAAGGTGCATTTATCTTTACCTTATTGCTACTTCTTCATTCTTTGCATGACACATTGTTAAGTGGAAATTAATGTTAGTTGCAGAATAATTTCTATCAATGGCAAAAGCATATAATCCGAAAATCTAATAGTTCATGTACCTTAAGAGCGTGTACATTAGAACCAACAGCTGATATCTCCTCTTGAGTAGAAGCAATCCTCGCCTAAAACAAATTAAACCACATCCCACAATTACCAAAAAGTATCATTCTAGATTCACTTGCCTACGAGGCATTATATTCTGCTCAAAAACTTAAAAAAAAAAATACATATCGGAGCTTTGATAAACCTCTAGAGTTTGAATTGAAGCTTCATTCATGGCTAATTCAACTTCGTATCCTTTAAGCTCTTGCTCGATTGATTCCTTGACATGCTTAGCTTCTTCAAGGCTCGCATGCGCAGCTTCAATCTCAGATAGAAGCTCTCCTATTCGGATCTTCAGATTCGAAATTCTCCTCTCTGCGAGCACAGCAACATGTGCATATAGGTGTTAGATTAATTTCACTCACATTTACTTCCGGGAAAGACTTCAGGTGAAAATTCTAGGGAAAAAAATGTATGAAAATGAGTAATAACACCTCCTTGAGATTTTTCGGAAGCATAGTCGCGAATTAGGCTCAGCAATTGCTTCTGCGAATCGCATCCCGCCATCTCTATCAAGTTTGTGGAATTTGAACTCTGCCCTCTGGGTTTGAATTTTTTAGACACCGGCTTTGGCAAGAAAAAAAAAAAGTAGAATCTTTTTCACTTTTTTTGCTTATAAATGTAAAACGGTCGAACTCCCCGCACCTTATTTTTTCATTCAGTGGACACATATGCCCTCTTTCGTACGGAAAAAGAATATACTTAGTACTCCCTATATCAAATTTCTAAATAATGCTCCGTTGAGTTGTATACTGGTATGGACCATCTAATACTCCGTAATTTTTCAGTGGGCCTCTTTTTGTTTGCTTTTAAAATAAAAATAGGTTTACGTTAAAAAAAAAATACTCGTAGGTTTTAAAATTTCTTTAATTTCCATTCAAAAAAAATCCCTAAGTTTTGTGTAACATTGTTCTAAAAAATAAATCTTTAAAACGTATTCAATTCCTAACATGCAATTCTATATACGAGTTTTTGCTACTTTCATATTTAGTCATTGACTATTGTGCTAAAGACACATTTAATCCTTGATTTCAAAGTTTCTCGCATTTAATCTTCTGAGTACTTATTGATCAAAAGGCGTTTTAAAAAACAAAAATAAGTTGGGTCGGGAACAAATTTAGTCAGACCGTCTAGCCACCGCCTAGCCCGTCTAGGTGGTCGACTGATTTTTCTCAGTCGATTACCACGGAATCGGGGCGCCCGACCACCTCGTATTGACTAGGCGAACGCCTAGACCGATTTTTAGAACCATGTTTTTTATACTTTAACTAGTAATTTAAATTGTACTACGTAACTTTAGTGATGATAACGTTCAAATTTGCATTGTAGTGACTGGTCATAAAATTAAGTCACATTTTTATTCATAGCAATATTTAAGGAAAAATCAATTAAGGTAAGCATCTACTCGTAATAAAAAAGAACGTTTTTTTAAAATTATACAAATGCAATATATGTGTCATAGGCCATAAAAATAATCAATTTGATATAATTTTGTTAATATTGGAAATCAAATTAAAATATTATATCCTCTCCCTCCAAATTTAAAAGTTCTCTACACTTTTCTTTTTGGGCTGTATTTAATCCTTTCATTTTTGGTAAGTTAACCCTTTATAAAATACTCAACTACCCTTACATTATTTACTTTTTATCTTCTCTTTCATACTTTACATACTCTCTTCATTTTTTTACACTAATCATTACCCCTATTATTCTATCCTAAAATATTGTACCCAAAGCTAGTGTAGAGATCATGTAAATACAAAGGAAGTAGCATTTTATAAAAAATAATTGCTCATCACATTTTAATAAATACAAAATATGTTATTTGGATCAATTTTGAGTCATCAAATGAAATAAGTAGAAGTGGCAGTGCGTAGTAATGGAGTTTGTTTTTGATCTTAAGAAATCAGTTATACGGTGTTAAAAGTTAGCAATATCGAGGGAAATATATTGTGTTCCTAATCTCAAGTATACCGTAGTTAGCAATATACGCCTATACAGTGTTAAAAGTTATTAGAATCAATTTATACGTAATAGCTTCTCATGTTAAAATTTAGGGGGCAAAATAGTCAACCTAGGGTTACGTTTAGCAATGTTGGGGGTGCGCAAAGCAACCCAAAATAGCAAAATTACCATTTGAAAAGGAAAGCAAACCACTCATCCGTGGAGCAAATGCGAACATTTTCCCAGCCCACATACTTCCACAACTGAAATCAGACCCAACAGACCCAAACGGGCCAAGCTTAGCAAAATGAAGCTCTAAGCAACCCACAATACGTAAGGGGGTGCCTTCGGCCCCATGATCGAAGGCTACAGTTGACAGAATTGAGATCAGAAACATCACAGGAAAACAAGGCTTGAAAATCAAGCCTTCGGCATTTATAGCCCTCGGCCCCGGTTAGAAGAGCCTTTGGCCCAACACCCTTCAGCCGAAGGCACCTCCCTTGACAGAATATCCTCTTCACATGCGTCTGAACCACCGTACCAAGTACAACGTCACATCTAACCACCGCATTTAATGCGGCCACATGCAAATGTCAGTGCCACCCTGATTGAGGTGACCCTCAGCCGTCGGATTCTTGACACGTGCCTCTGTCTAGCATTTATTGCTGCTATAAATAGCAGCACATTTCTCCATTGCAAACCACGCTGAATTCATTTAATATATTTGACTCTCTCTCTTACTTATTTGCTCTGGCTTCTCTCTAAGTTATTCCCGCAATAACCCCTGCATAAGCTACTCCGGGTACACTATCCAATAATGATGCACTCGTTGAGAGGTTTGAACATAAACGAGCAAAAACAAGCTGGAAAATTAAAAAAAAATCTTTGGAATGGTCCACATTTGAAGCTGTTCTCGCCAGACCCGAGCTGGCTGGTCAACCGGAGCAGTCCAAAGTCAGAGGGAGGACTGGATTTGACGTTGGTCCGGTGACCAGAAGCTCCGCTGAAGCACGGCCTCCGGTAGCTCTTACTCGTCCACCCACCTTCGCCACAACGCCCTCACCAGCAGTGGCTGTCTCTGGCTTAACGGTCCGCCATTAATGGCAGACTATAGCTCCTGGAAGTGAAGACGCAGGCCTCCGACCCAAATCACAAAAAATCAGTCTGCAAATTGGAGAAAGAAGAAGAAAAGGCTGGGATTTTGGATCTGGATATTTTTTGATCTGCCTTCACCGCCTACGGGAAAGTTGTTCTCAAACCAGCCCGGGTCTGGGCCACTGCTTTGACTCTATCACCCAGTGCTAGAAGCTCCTGTCACTGCAACTCGCGGGTCGCAGGTCCACCTCCGTCGTCGCAGTACTGGGCCGCTCGAAGCTTCTGGTTGCTGCTTGATCCTTCATCGGGTTAGTCACTGCCCGCTCCTCCACATGTTCATGAACGCAGCTTGAGGGATTTTCCGACTGGGATTTCTTGATTTCGCCATTGATGGTGGTTGGGAGGATGTATTTCTGTCGATCTTCCACCGCAGGCTAGCTTTTCCAGCCGCCCTCGCCCCGCTCCAGCTTCCACCGCCACTGCCGGTCAGCGGCCGACCTCCACTGCCTGGCCATGGTGGGATGTTTCACCTTCCTCTCCACGATATGCCCGGATGCTCCTCGCTTGGACGAGAGCAGACCACGTACAAAGGGCCAAAATGAAAGGGGGGAGGCGTTGTGGACCGAGTAGGCGCAGAGGCTAAGACTAACTGCAGTGCTAAGGGTTTAAACATATACTCCCTCCGTCCCGAATTGAATTGCAAACTTTGACCGACACAAGGATTAAGAAATGACAATAAATGATGCTTGCTTATTACACTTTTGCCCATCTTTTTAAAAGTAGATACCTTTAAGTTAATGGGGAAAAAGTAAAAGTAAGGGTAAATTTGTCACTTTATTCTTATTTACATACCTAAAATAGAAAGTGGAAAACCATTTTGGGACAACCAAAAAAGGAAATTTTGCAAATCAAATCGGGACGGAGGGAGTATGACAGAAGAGGACCCCATGATCTTGACATGCCTGACAGATGCAGGAGCAAAGGAATGGTCACAATTGCTCCGTATTATTTGTTGTCCTACAATTGAAATCGGCCATGGGCTTTTGCAGATGGAGATTCATCAAAAAATTATACAGAGACGAAACTGTCAGCTTGCTGATGGGAGAGCCGACTTTGGAATGATGTGGCTACCACTTGCCCACTACGAGTGAAGTGCGATGGACCACAATAGTCAATGGGCTTCTCGAAGTTAAAAAGGCTCAAAGGAATCAGCTGGATATTATTCTTTTCAGTCAGTCCAATATATTTCAGCCCATCAAAAGATAAGTATCTTTAATTTTAATATTATTTATATTTATTTTAATCAATATTTTTTTTCGGACGAATGTTAAACTATCATACAAATATGATCAAATGCCTAGTACACTGTGACTTGAGACTCATCACTAGGATTTAAAGCTCTAACCAAGTCATGCACAAAGCCCCGACCAAGTCGGGCATGAAGATCGGTCTTAGTCATTCCAAAAATGGCGACCGTTGCGTACGAATGGCTCACACATCCATTCTACTAAGTATTTTATCATTACATTGATAATTCACATATCCACTTGTATCAAGTAACGAACTCCCGATCAGAAACATAAATCCCAAGAAAAAAAATTATATGTATGTTAAATGTGTAGGTACGAAGATGACTTTACTCATTTTTCACCTCGTCTCCACTCGCCTCAAAGAGTGGGGGACTGGGGGACTGAGGGATTAGAATTTCTAAATGAGCAGAAAATATCACACATGAGCAGGAATGAGAGCTGAGTCGGTTGAAGAGGAGCTGAGCTAGATTGATCATGTCGGAGGAGACTTACATACATTGTTTTATGTTGGGGGCGCTAGGTGTACTCTTTTTCCGTTTATTAGGATTTTTTTCCACTGGGTTTTTTCCTAGTAAAGGTTTTTAACGAGACACCTCCACATCATGGACAAGGGTGGTGGTCCCCAGTCGAAGAGAAGAAACCAAAGACAGAAGAACGTTGCAGATACAGTTTGGACTACTCCCTTTCGCCTCAAGTACTTTCAACTCAGGGAGTGGGGGACTTCTGATGGAGTATATGGACTCCGACCCCTTGATCTGCCGACTACTGAGCCTGGATAGCGGCCCACACACGTTTAGCAGATATCATTCATATTATTGTACATTATTATTATTATTAAGATGTCCTGGATTAGCTTTTTATACTATCAGTCCATTTATGTGACCGGGTCTGTCAGACCCATATTAGAGGATCAGACCCGGATTTTCCCTATATATACTCCTTATAGGAGGCTTGTAAAGATAACTCACAATTTATTCAACATTATACAAATTCTTCTTCTCTATTACTCTTCTTGATTATTGTTCAATCTCTCGTTAGTTATAGGATATGGGTATCAATTATCCAACAAAAAGTGTAAAGACAACAGAATTCTTCTGATTGAAAGTAGCAAAAGGGATTGAGAATTCTCTAATAAACTGGTTAAAGTTGATGATGCTCAATTTGAAGACTCTTAAATAAAGGGCATATATGCACATAAAATTTTGTCTCATTATAGGTAAATCATTGAGCTTGAAAATGAAGTTTAGAAAA